AATTCTGATTTAGCATGTCTGGCGGGATGCCATTGGAAACTCCCTAGGTAGACCTAATGTGCAGCCTGCACTGAAGATCACTGATTTCAAGTCATTAGTTGGGACAGTCAGGAGGACTGGCTATAGAACCGTAAGAATCTACTGGAAGCCATGTAAAACCTACCCCTTCCAACACCTGGAAATCTCTAGAAACCAGCCTGGTTTATTGCCTCCAATACAAATCTTCTACTGGCAGCCTAGACAGATGGTTATTATTTATCCACCCTGCTGTGTTAGAAAAGGAAAAATGAGCTCTGCCTCAGAATTTTCAAAAAGTTTTTACATACGCAAACCATTACCTTTTTATATTACGTTGGATGTTAGAAAGGGGAAAGGGAAGCTTAAAAGAGATTGAGTGGACCGGCATGTATTTTCTTCTAATGGAACTTTCTGAAATGCACAGTGGAGACGAAAAGGACTGGGAAAAAGTCTGGGTTCTAGATCTCATTCTAAAAGGCATAATGTACTGAAAAGTGGCCAAAAATATGCCTGGTGCATTGTAATTAACATTAGGTTCTCTTTACTTGGAGAACTAAATTTTCTTAAGGTCATTTAATAATAATAACACAACAGCAAATAACAATACCTTGTATTGAGCATTTTCCTCTGTTTTATTTTTACCACCACAATATTAATACAGATTATTGTAATTTCACAAATGAAATGATTGTGATCCAAAAACTTGTAGTTGGGGCCGGCACTGTGGCATAGCGGGTAAAGCCACCACCTGTAGTGCTGGCATCCCATATGGAGGCCGATTCGTGTCTTGGCTACTCTACTTCTGATCCAGCCCTCTGCTATGGCCTGGGAAAGCATGGAAGTAGGCCCAATTACTTGGGCCCCTGCACCCAAGTGGGAAGACCAGAAGGAAGCTCCTGGCTCCTGGCTCCTGGCTCCTGGCTCCTGAATGGGAAGTGAACCAGTGGATGGAAGACTTCTCTCCCTCTCTCTCTCTCTCTCTCTGTGCCTCTCCTTCTCTCTGTGTGTAATTCTGACTTTCAAATAAATAAATAAATCTTTAAAAAAAATTTGCAGTTGGTGCAGGTAAGACCTAGGATTAGTATTTGGGGCCTGTGCTGTGGCGTAGCAAGTAAACCCACCACCTGCAGTACCAGCATCCCATATGCCAGTTCGAGTCAGATAATAAGATTAACATGTAAAATCTCTTAGGGCTGGCACTGTAGCATAGTAGGCTAAGCCTCTGTGGCACCAACATCCCATATGGGTGCCGGTTCAATTCCAGCTACTTCTCCAATCCAGCTCTCTGCTATGGCCTGGGAAAGCAGGAGAAGATGGCCCAAGTCCTTGGGCACCTGTACCTGTATGGGAGACCCAGAAGAAGCTCCTGGCTCCTGGCTTCAGATCAGCCCAGCTATGGCTGTTGCAACCATTTTGGGATTGAACCAGCAGATGGAAGACATCTTTCTCTCTCTCTCTCTCTCTCTCGCTCTCGCTCTCTCTCTCTTCTCTGTAAATCTGCCTTTCAAATAAATAAATCTTTATAAAAAAGGGATTAGCATTCAGATCTGACACTAAAATCTATCTTCTTACCTTTGTGCTGTAAATTGCTTCTATAATCCCTTTAACTGTAAGCTTTATGAGTAAGAATAATTTGAACCTTTTTTTTTTCTCCTGAAATAAACAAAAAGCTTTTTTTTTGACATACTGGGTAAAAGAAGCAGGGACCAAAACCACCAGGTGATGATGGGTTTCCATGACAACTTAAATTTTCAATGTATCAGATAAGATCAGCATTGAAGGGGGTACCCTAAGTGGCTGCCATCAAGACCCATATTGAGGCCAACATTGTGGCATAGCAGGTAAAGCCTCCACCTGCAATGCCGACATCCCATATGGGCACTGGTTCATGTCCCTGCTACTCTAGTTTCGATCCAGCTCTCCATTAATTGCCTGGGAAAGCAGGTAGAAGATGGTTCAAGTGTTAAGGCCCCTGCTATCCACATGGGAGACATGGAAGGAATTCCTTGCTCATGGTCATTGTGGGCATCTAGGGAGTGAACCAGCTGATGGAAGATCTCTGTTCTCTCTCTCTATGTAACTTTCAATAAATAAATATTTTTTTAAATATCCACTTTAAGCATTTATGAAAGTTTATAGTACTTGGGTTATGTATGGAGAATAAATACAAAGAAGGAGTGAGCATTTGGTGCAGCAGTTAAGATGCCATTTGGGCTAACTGCATCTCATATCAGAGTATGTGGGTTGGAGTCCTGGCTCCATTTCCAACAGCAGCTTCCTGCTTATGTGGACCTGGAAGGTAGCAGGTAATGATGGTTCAAGAATGCGGGTCCTTGGACCAGCCTAGGAGAGCTGGGTTGTATTCTAGGTTCCTGGCCTTGGCCTGGCCCAGCTCAGCTGTTGTAGGCATTTGAGTAGTGACCCAGAAGATGGAAGATCTCTACCCATTTATGTCTCACTGCCTTTTAAATAAATAAACAAATAAATAGAATTTTAAAAATTAAATGCAAAGAAAAATCTCTCCAAGGGCAAAACAGGATGGGGCCACCACTGCTGTGCAGCAGGTTAAGCCACTCCTTGCAATACTGACATTATATATTTCAGCACTGGCTCATATCTTGGCTGTTCCAGTTCTGATCTAGTTTCCTGCTAAAATGCTCCCATGAGGCAGCAGATGATGTTTCAAGTACTTAGGTCCCTGCCGCCTATGAGGGAGACCTGGATGGTGATCCTGGTTCCTGGCCTTGGCCTGGCCCAGCTCTGGCAGTAGTACCCATTTGGGGAATGAACCAGCAAATGTAATAGATTCTCTATCCTCTCTCTCTCTCTCTGTCCCTTTCAATGAAATAAATAAATAATCTTTAAAAATAGAAGAATCGGAAAAGGAATTAGAGAAATGGAAATATATGTTCAGTGACTTTTTTTTTCCAAATTCCAATAAGGGCACATGCTCCCTTATTTATTCAACAATCATGCATTGAGTACCTTCTCTAGTGCTGGCTGCTAGGGCTTCAGAGAATGTTATGAAACTACATTGTCTTCTCCATCAAGAAACTGAAGGAGAAGAATCCTATTAATGTATAGGCACAATGCCACAGTCTAACAAAAGGTTTTTAAATCTGGTATGTGAATTTACTTATAAAGCTTCCTTACATAAATACCTCTATTACTTAGCATTTATTGAGCAATTTCTGTACTCTAGATACTTGCTTGACACTTTCTAGTTCATTTAATGATGATAATCTTCTATAGGTGTCATTATCCCCATTTTACAGAGAGGAAACTGAGGCACACAGAGGAGAGTAACTTACCCAAGGTCATGCAGTTATTAAAGATAGGTGTCAGGATTCAAACCCATGCCATCTGGCCTCAGCCTATACAAATGCTCTCAAATCTCTATGTTACACTAGCTCCCTCTAGATTTTGTCTAAATTTATTGATTGAATCATTCTAATAACCATAGAGAGACCAGCTCAGAAATTATATGTGTATACACACACACACACACACACACACACACACATGGAGAGAGAGATGGCATATTTGAATTGTGTCCAGAACACTGAAGCTGATGCTTCCAGAAATCCATGCTGTGAGGTCATGACAGAGGTTTGCCAAATAAATACAAAAGTACTTCAAAAAAAATAATGAAAAATAAAATTAAAAGATATTTATTTTGGTGCCAAATTATCTAGAAATCTATACATACAAGGGATCTTCAAAAATTCATAGAAAAAAAAAATAAAAACATATGCATGGATTTCAAAAATGTGTGGCACCAAATAAACCTTAAAAAGATTAATTTATTTATTTGAAAGACAGAGTCAAAAAGAGAGGAATGGGGAGAGAGAGACTGTTTCATCCACTGGTTCACTCCCCCAAGGGGCCCCAACAGCCAGAGCTGGTCCAGGCTGCAGCCAGGAGCCCAAATCTTCGTCCTGGTTCCCCACATGCATGGCAGGGTCCCAGATTTTTCAGTCATCTTCTGCTGCCTTCTCAGGGAGCTGTCAGAAGTGGAGCAGCCAGGACTCAAACCAGCGCTCCAGTAGGGGATGCTGGAGGGTGTTGCAGGCAGCAGTTTAGCTCACTGTGCCATAGTGCCGGTCCCCAAAATAAGCTTATTTTTAATCACATTTCTCACAAACTTTTTGCAGTGCACTCACAAATAAGTTATCAAATCAGATGGCAGGTGCTAAGTGGTAAATCAGTGATCCCCACAGCAAGCGTTAGAGCATTGCCACAGAAGGTCCATGTTTTTCCTGCATCTGGAAGAAACCTCCTCTATTCCTGGAGACAGCAGCCTCCAGCAAGTTAACACCTGCACAGTCAGTAGAAGCCCCTGGGTTAGGGATGCTGTGCAAATGTTCCCCACACCAGACCGCTGACCTTGGAAAGAAGCAGGAAGGAAGAAGAGAAAGATTCCGGCCTAGTGCTTCAGATGCACATCTGTGTGGAAAGAGAGGCACAAGTGCCCGCCAGGAAGAAGCAGGGCTGCAGGAAAAAGCCCTGCCCGCTCCCTAAGCTCTGAGGCCCTTTGTGATTCTGGGCCTCTCTAGGGAGGCGCTGTTGTCGCCTGGTGCTCTGGGCTCCAGGCATCCACACTCTCCTTTGTCTGGAGGACTCCTGTTCATCTTTCAGCTCCAGTCTGGGTCCCTTCCTCCAAAAAGGCAGCACTGGTCCCCCTCCACTTCATCTCCTGCACCAAAATCAGCTTTACACCGTCCCTACTTCCCCATGTTTTTCTTTGGTAGTATTTAGAATACTGGTAGGATAATTTTTGAATAATTGCGGATATCTACCTCCCCAGTCGGACTTCCCCCGAGGCGGGAACCAGGCCCTTCCTATTCATCAGTGTGTCCCTACCCCCTAACACCATGTCAAACACACAACACAGCCTGTTTTCTTTGCCTGCTGTGTGTGTGTGTGTGTGTGAAGCAAAAAGACAGAACTAAAATCTTCCATTTGTTTTCTTTCTTGCTCAGGGAAGTATGAAAAAGAAGCCCCAGCCACTCCAGTGGAGGATGAAGTCCCTGGGACTGAACATGTGGTATGCACCTGGTGCAGAGAGCTTGGGAAAGTTCTTCCCACACTTGGCCTTCTCTTCACTGATGCTGCACGGGGCCCTACCCTGTGGGTTTTGATTTTCCCTCGACCCCTGATGTCAGACTGCCTTGGACTTCAAGGCTCCCCTCCAGCAGAGAGGGGAGACTGAACTACTGGAATGTGGGTCGTGTCCTAGCTGCCATGAGATACTCCTTGATACCACTGGATAATGTGCTTGCCTCCTGCCCCGAGAAGCTGAAATCCTAGCCAGTGTATGGATGGCTTTCCAAAGCTTGGGGCCATCAAAATCAAGGGTGTTTCTGAGCCCTATTTTGACATCTGAAGTCTAGCTTCCAGAAATTGTGTGACCTTTCCCCAGACATCAGATTTTAAAATGTAAGAGGCTCTCTGATTTAAAAATAAATTAAAAAATAGCAAAATCTGGCAAAGAGTTACAATGCATTTTAATATTCCCAGCATTCAGCCAGGAGGCATTGTACAGAGAATTGAAAAACAGCCTGAGTTTTTGTGTTGTTATTTTTTAAATGCCCGGATTAGAGCATAATTCATCCTGAAATGACGAGAGGCCTCTTCATGCACTTCACACGTTGAAATAGTTTAGAAAATAGTATCCATTTTGGCAAGCTTCTTGCCACATAAGAAACAACAGCGAGTGCTTTTCTCCATGAGTGTTAAGTCTGTTGTGAATAAGATTATGAAAAATACACTTGCTCTTTTATTTTGTCTCTTATTTGAGGATTTTTATTGCATCCCAGCAACAATTTATTCTCTAGCTCCTGTAGAAATAAATGGCATTTATTATTCCACAATTTAGTCCTAAACTATGCAAATAGAATATTTGCATAGTGATTCTCTCTGCAACCATGTGGATTGGCAGGAGGGGCAGTTGCTGGAAAAGCAGGGCTTGGAGATCCTACGGTTAGGTGTTCACTCTCTCCCCATGGTAGGAGGCAAGATGCCTTACATGGCACAACTGCAATTTGTCCATTTTATTCTCAAAACATCTCTACCATGTTCGAGGCTTGGGGTTAGGATACCAAGGTGCGCTGGACATAACTTCTTCCAGTAGTCTTGGATCCACTATAATCTCTGTGTGATCTTAGAAAAGCACTTGCACTTTCTAAGATAATATCACTAATTGTTCTAATCACTCTTCATTGAAACCTCCTGGTTTTAGAAATGTTCCTACCATAACGTTGTAAGCATTGCCGGAAGCCAATTCACTATAGATCCCACTAATGTAAAACAGTTGAACATCATAAAAAGTCTCAGCCAATTACAAAATCCTTTGCTTTGTGCAAGTCAGAAATGACAAGTGAATAAAAGTCATGATGTCACCCTTCTTCTTAACAACAAACACACTTAACATGTTTGTATCCAGCAAAACTTGGCAGATATGGTCCTGTGGCACTGAGGATTTGAAACTCATCCTCCTTGCTTTCCAAAGCCAGACCTTACAATAAATCTTCTTAGTTGCGAGGCCTCATCTTTGGCCAAGAGTCTGGAGAAGCTCTGGGTGGTGAATGTGTTGCCAGTGAGATGCTTGTGTTGTTTTGGTAGAAAACTCCAGAAGAGGAGTTGCAGCCAGAAAACCCTCCCGCTGAGATTCCAGCCCCTGAGGATCCTCTGAACTCTTGGAAGATCCAACCAACCTCTCAGCCTTCCACAAGCCCAGCTATGAAGAATGAGGCTGAGGAATGTGAGACGTGGATCGACAGGTTCAGGAAACTCGAAAACGCTCTCTACTTGTGTGATCTGAGCAACACAGGTGAAGAATGGATTTGAAAGCTGATATATTTTTCTTGTTTGTTTGTTTGAAGATTTATTTATTTATTTACTTGAAAGGCAGAGTTAAAGAGAGAGGGAGAGAGAGAGAGAGATATCTTCCATCTGCCGATTCACTCCCCAAATGGGCACAACCGCTGGAGCTGGGCTGGCCTGAAGCCAGGAGCCAGGAACTTCATCTGGGTCTCCCACATGGATGCAAGGGGCCCAAGGACTTGGGCCATCATCCACTGCTTTCCCAGGCCATAGCAGAGAGCTGGAGCAGAAGAGGAGCAGCCAGCATGTAAAGCAGCGCCCGTATGGGATGCCGGTGCTGCAGGCAGTGGCTTTACCTTCTACGTCACATCGCCGGCCCTGATGTATCTTTCTTTCTATTCAGGTGCTAGAATAAAAGTGAACACCTCATTTTCTTTCATTTCCTGATTGGGTAATATAATTTCTATGTAAACCACATGCCTGACACTTTGCTAAATACAATTGGAAATACAAAGATGGATCAGACAAGAGACCCTGCTAGGTTGCTTGCAGTCGATTTTCAGTCCTTCCTACTCTCTATTACCAAGGTCTAGCCCACAATTCAGTCCTGATTAAAATACTCAAGACATCCCCCCTCCCCAACCCATGTACAGCATGAACTCCAAACTCCTTAACAAGGCAAAATCTGGTGTCTGTCCAGTCTCTTGCTCCTGTTATTCTCTCAACTAATCCTGCCCAGTCATAATGAATCACATGCCTTGCTCCCTCGGTGTCTGCCTTTCCAAATCTAAGCCTTCCATCTGAGCTATCTCCTTCTCCTCTATCTACCCACCCCCGCCAATTCCCCATTCTGTCCACCTGGGTAATTGATACCTAAATATCTTACATTTGAATCCAAGCACTACTCCTCTGAGATTCCCCAGATATACCTAAGCCAACCTACATCTGGCTTCTTAGATTCTTCAGCATTCATGACTATATCCAAGATACATGAGTATATATACATAAACCACTTGGGAATTTGTTACCACCTCACCAGTAGACCACAGTCTTATCTTATCTCTGGTACCTTGCACAATTAAACATTTTCAAGAAAGGAGCAAATAAATGAATGAATGAATGTTTAATAAATAACTGACCACAAAATGTAAGATGATAAATGCCATTAGAATGTGCTATGTGTGCATTCAGTGAAAGGAGGATCCCTTTTTTGTGGGGTTATTAGGGAAGGCTAAGTTCATGTTAAGTTGATCATTGAAGGTAAAGTGCAGGTTAGACACAAAGGAATGAAATAGCCTTTCTAGCAAGTGTTTAAGGTTGGCTAAGTGAAATACTGTGTGAGGCTCAATGCAAGAAGTTCAGTCAGATTAGAACATTGGCTTTATTAAGAAAAATATTAAGTAGGGCCGGTGCTGTGGTACAGCAGGTTAATGCCCTGCCTGAAGCGCCGGCATCCCATATGGGCACGGGTTCGAGACCCGGCTGCTACACTTCCAATCCAGATCTCTGCTACGGCCTGGGAAAGCAGTAGAAGATGGCCCAAGTCCTTGGGCACCTGCACCTGTGTGGAAGACCTGGAAGAAGCTCCTGGCTCCTGGCTTCGGATCAGTGCAGCTCTGGCCATTGTGGCCAATTGGGGAGTGAACCATCGGATGGAAGACCTCTCTCTCTGTGTGTGTGTGTGTGTGTGTGTGTGTGTAACTCTGAATTTCAGATAAATAAATAAATCTTTAAAAATATTAAGTGATAAAGGCAAATATTAATAAAGCTGTATACTGAAGGGCTTAAAATATAATACTATGGAATTATTTAATTCAAGGATAATGAGTAGCACAGGGACTTTCTAAGCAGAGGGGGAGCAGAAGAAATTGTGTTTTAAGGAAGATCTTTGATGACTGTGTGCAGAAAGTGAAATTAAGAACAAAGGAGGCTAATGCAATGTTCAGCTGAGAAAATGAAGTTCAAAACTGGGCCAAAGTCCTAGCAAGTGAAAAGAAGGGGCAGACACAAAAACACCTGGACTAGAACTGTCATACTTAGTTATTTAATGTGGTTCATGAAGAGTTAATGAACAGAGTACTTCCTAAAAATAATCACGTAAAATTGCAATGGCTTTTTCATTGTCTTTGTGTTTTTTTGTTTTTATTTTAAAGCAACTTAATTCCAAATTACATGAAATATAACTACCATATAATACCCACAGGATTCTTAATACTTATACCAAAAAGAGGATACAAACCCCTAGATCTTTAAGTTAAAGATCGATTTGACTGAATTAGAAAACCATTTATTAAAAATATAAGCCCACAGGCCGGCGCCATGGTTCACTTGGTTAATCCTCCGCCTGCGGTGCTGGCATCCTATATGGATGCCGGGCTCTAGTCCCTGTTGCTCCTTTTCCAGTCCAGCTCTCTGCTGTGGCCCAGGAATGCAGTGGAGGATGGCCCAAGTGCTTGGGCACTGCACACTCATGGGAGACCAGGAAGAAGCACCTGGCTCCTGGCTTCGGATCGGTGTAGCTCCGGCCATAGCGGCCATTTGGGGGGTGAACCAACAGAAGGAAGACTTTTCTCTCGGTCTCTCTCTCTCTCTAACTCTATCTGTCAAATAAATTATATATATATATATATATATATGTATATGCCCAACCCCATATTAAGGGCTGGACCAGGAGGAAAACCAGAAAAGCTTACTTTTAGGTAAAGAGTTTACTTTAGGTAAGACCCAGAGACTGGAAATACTTCAATGCCCATAAAAAGAAAAAATAAATAAATAAAAGGCAGTTTATAGTAAGGTGTTAAAATTTCAGGAACAAATGAGAGTTAAAGAATCAAAGGAAAGAGGAGAGATAAAAGGAAGCTAACCAGGTAATGTAGGCTGAACTACTCAGAGAAGACTTCATAGAGAGAGATGGAGCTGAGACGTGAAGGGAGGGAGCCTTTGTATAGGTGTGCAGGTCATTCCAAGGCTGATACCATCTCCTGCAAGAGGTGGGCAGGGGGAATGGGTAAGAAGGAGATGAGAGTGAGGAAGACAGCACTGGAGGTTCTTGTAGAATTGTGTAGTAAAGCTGACACACTTGCATGAGTCCTAGGGGCTATGATGAAGCTTCCTGCACTACCTAATATCCACTAAATGTTCAACCAACCATAATGAAAGGTGAGATGGTTTACTGAACAATGATATGGAGAAAAGGAGACTAATAAGTTATTGAAATAACTCTGGGTCTGGGCATTGGTATTAGTCAGATTTTTTTTAAGATTTAATTTCATTTATTTAAAAAGCAGAGTTACAAAGAAAAAGAGAGACACAGAGAGAGAGAGATTTTCTATCTGCTGCTTCATGCCCAAATGGCCCCAGTGGCTATAACTTGGCCAGGCTAAAACCAAGAACCTAGAACTCCATCTGGGTTTCCCACATGGTTGGCAGAGACCCATACACTTGGGCTATCTTCTGTGCTTTCCTGGCAGGATGCTGGATTAGAAGTAGGACTCCAGGCCGGTGCCTTGGCTCAATAGGCTAATCCTCTGCCTGCGGTGCCGGCACCTGGGGTTCTAGTCCCACTCAGGGCGCCGGATTCTGTCCCAGTTGCCCCTCTTCCAATCCAGCTCTCTGCTGTGGCCCGGGAGTGTAGTGGAGGATGGCCCAAGTGCTTGGGCCCTGCACCCGCATGGGAGACCAGGAGAAGCACCTGGCTCCTGGTTTCAGATCAGGGTGGTGCACCGGCCGCAGTGGCCATTGGAGGGTGAACCAACGGTAAAGGAAGACCTTTCTCCATGTCTCTCTCTCTCACTGTCCACTTTGCCTGTAAAAAAAAAAAAAAGAAGAAGAAGAAGAAGTAGGACTCAAACTGGAGCTCATATGAGATGCTGGCATCACAGGCAGCATTTAAACCCACTGCACCACAATGCCAGCCCCTGTGTATGTCAGATTTTATCACTCTAACAAATACCTGAGAGAAGCTGCTTGTGAAGGAAGAAGGCTTATTTTGGCTCATAGTTTTGGAGATGCACAGTCCGAGATCATGTGGCAATGGTGATAGAACAAATACAAAGTAGAGATCACACAGCAAACCAGGAAGCAGAGGATAAAACTAGGACCAACTCAGCTTATACAGCCAACTTTCTCATGACACCTATCTTACAAGGGCATGTCCCCTAAAGATCTAGACCCTTCTCTCAGACACCATATTTGGATCAAGCCACCACCCTTAATCCATCAACCATTAACACTAATCCATTATCCATTAACATAGGACTTTGGGGACCAAGCCTTTAATGTATGGCCCTTGGGGACACCCAAACAAATATCCAAACCATTAACAATGTACGTACCAGGACTATAGGAGTGACAATGGGGTTAAAAACTAGACAAACAAATAAAAAAAATCTTTAAAAACAAAAATCCAAGGAGATAGAGAAGACATTTCTAAAGAAACAAATGTTGAGTCGTGATGATGGATGATGGATCATAAATTTAGCTGCTAAGAGTCTCCCCAAAGACCTGGACCTTTCTCATAGGAGCTGAACTGTTCTGAGGAAAAATGGAGTTTTGTTGACTTTGGAGGCAGATTCTGACAGACTTGAAATGCTTTTCTCATGGTCTCTTCACTATTTATGCCTGTTTTCTCCGTTTCTATGAAATTCATTAGTTCCTCGGTGGCCAAAGAATGTGTCAGCCAGATCTGGGAACATCTACAAATGTCTGTAATGAGGAAAGAAATTAACTGAGGTCATTTTGTTGGTTTATTAACCACAGTATTTAGCAGACCACCAAGGTCCCACTCTAGATGCAGAGCAGATGATACCTACTTTGCTCACAGATGAATCACTGTTCTTTATTATGTGCAAGGAAATATGTGGGCCAGGGTGTTCTTCATCCAGGATGAAGGCAGTCCATCCATCATCACATCAGTGTTTCTGGGAACCTCCCATGCTTATTCTCTAATGAGGGTTGTCAAGAAAATATCCTTAAGGAGAAAGAATAAGGAATGACTATGAATAACAGGTCATGTTTTCTAAAGAAAGAAGTGTGGTTGGGATAAATGTCTGCGCAAATGGTACATTTGGAATTTTCCCAGTGAACTAACTGCTAGATAGAAAGTATTTTAGAGTTCAAGGAGGCAGAGTGACTTAAAGGACGTTCTCTTCCTGGGTCTGGACATTACATACCCTGCATCACTAAATTCCTACATCAACCACATGCTGAAGGAATTCGTGTTCTTATTTAAGGAGGAAAAAGTCAGTGTCAAAGGGATACAATAATAGCCAGTAGGAAGTTAAGCCATAATTCAAACCCAGCTCTACTTGTCTTCCTACTACATCCTGCCCTGTAACATAGTAGAAAGAACATGAGATCTTGCTTCGTTTCTTTTCTTTTCTTTTCCTTTTCCTTTTGTTTGTTAGTTTGGTTGGTTGGTTGGTTGGTTCTTACCAAAAGATTTAGAATCGAGTCCAGGTGTTACCAGTGGCTGAACCTTGAAAGCCAGTGACATACATTCTCTCAACCTGTTTCCTCATCTATACAATGAGACTCATAATAAAACATACCTCCCATATTTGAGAAAAGATCAAATAAGATAGGATATTCAAAAGTTGTTTGAAATTGTAAAAGTGAAATGGATATTAAAGAGGTTCTTAGTACTACTTCTTTCATTTTGGTTCCAGCTTGGAAAGAATAGCCTTTCCAACACTAACATAGATTGTGAGGGTTATTATATGTGCCTCTTAGGGCATCCCTAATGACAGAGTAAAAATGACAGCTATTAAATGTAAGTCTAAACTTTTATTTGACAGTAGAAATCCTTTACCAATGTAAATCTTTTTTTTTTTTTTTTTTGGACAGGCAGAGTGGACAGTGAGAGAGAGAGACAGAAAGAAAGGTCTTCCTTTTGCCATTGGTTTACCCTCCAATGGCCGCCGCGGCCGGTGCGCTGCAGCCGGCGCACCGCACTGATCCGATGGCAGGAGCCAGGTACTTATTCTGGTCTCCCATGGGGTGCAGGGCCCAAGCACTTGGGCCATCCTCCACTGCATTCCCTGGCCATAGCAGAGAGCTGGCCTGGAAGAGGGGCAACCGGGACAGAATCCGGAGCCCGACCGGGACTAGAACCTGGTGTGCCAGCACCACAAGGCAGAGGATTAGCCTAGAGAGTGGCGCCGGCCCCAATGTAAATCTTAGAAGATAGAAAACACCACCATGATTTTTAGATGTAGTTTATAAACATTACTTTTATTCTTAATTAAAATATTAACTAAATGTTACATATTTTGATAATAAAGACTATGTATTTTAAATCATCTTGATATAATTTTTATAATTATAGTAACACTAGCATTAGTGAGTGCTTGCTAGCACTGGATACTAGGCCAAGCACTTATTTTTTTATTTTCATACAATTTAATTAACCTTATTTTACAATTAAGGAAACTGATGCTAAAAACTCAAGTAACTTCCCTATGATCTTACATTCAGAAACTCACTGCAAAGTTTGTGACTTATATTTCTAGAAGCAAAGCATAGGGAAATGTCCAGAGAGAATAAACCTGGTCAGGGCCAAGAGCAGCCAACCAATCCAGAGAACTTCAAAGATGTAATTGACCAACTCAAAGATGGAAGTTTATATAGAATAAAGTACCAACATTTTAAAATAGTAGATAGGCAATAAAGACACAATAAATGAACTGGAATGGAAAAGCTAACAAATCAGAATGGAATGGAGTAGAATGGAGTAGACCCCATCAGCCTGGAAAGAGTAGTTCAGAGGGGAGCATCTTGATCCTGTAAACATGAACAGTTCTTTCTAGCTTAAACTGAGATGACAGGTGTTCACCCTTGCCCAGCACCAGTGGCCTAGTGATGAAATTCTACAGTTTGGATAGGGCATTGCTTCTGGGTTCTTTAAGAATTTCACAATCACTCAAAGTTTCCACAGGTAAAGGAGATTAGAAAAGATTCAACCTGAAAGCATTGACTCTTCCATCTGTATAAAAGACATTTTAAGCTTTTAGGCTTTTCATTGAACCTGTATTATGACTCTTCATACTTCAAGATACATCTCTAGGAACCAGTATGACTCCTATTTGAAGCAATCTCTTCCGCAGCATTCCGTAATGTACTATAGTGGTTAAAAATAGACGATCTTGGACAAGTGACTTAGCACCTTTAGGCCTCAGTTCCTTCCTCTGTGCAATGGGCTAATTGTCTGGATTACATATGTTAGTATTGGTAAAATTACTTGGAGAAGGGCCTTGGATACAGTAAACTTCATATGTAAGTATCAGAAGTTATTGTTTTATTGTCGCATTCTAGTTGATTTTCTGCACAATTTATACTCTCAGTGGGTCAAGAAGCTTCTGGAGGTAACAGATCACTTCCCTAAGTCCTTTATATGTCCAAGCAGAGTATCTGACATATATAAGTTCACTAGCAGGGACTTAAGAATGTGCTATTGATCTTTAGTGATGCCATGATCTACACTTAAATTCCTCTCAGCAACTATCAGAATTCACCTAACACCAATGGAGACAACATTCTGGCATTAGCCCTGGGATATACAGAACACAGGTACCAGAACACATCTTATGATACAACACCAGCTCTAGTACACATGTTCAGTCAATAGAAGTTACATGATTCACAGCGATCATACAGTGAACTGGAGAGAGGCACAGAAAATATATTTCCAGAAATGCTTTGTCAAATATTCCTTTATTTATTTGAGAGACAGAGAGCTTCCATCTGCCAGGTAATTCCTCAAATGCCCAAAACAGCTAGGACAGGAGCCATAGTAATCCAGATGTCCCATGTGAGTGGCAGAGACCAAATTACTTGAGCCATCACTGCTACTTCTCAAGGGCTGCATTAGCAGGAATCTGGAATCAGGTGTTGGAGCTGGGAATCAAACCCAGGAACTCTAAAGTGAGATAGGAGCATCTTAACAACCTGTGTGTTAACCACTAAACCAAACACCCATCCCCCCAGAAATGCATTTTAAAATGAACTGCTTAAACCTTGCATGTTTAGGGACATTTTGGATACTTCAACTGATAGAAAGAAATCAGAATAATGTGGAAATTACTTTTAGTATGCATCCCGCTTGTTGCAAAACTCAGTTTTAAAAGTTGTGTGGTTAAAAACAACAAGCTTAGATTGCTTTAGAATTTATCCATTTTCTTGTCTCTCCTCCAAAATCGCACTCAAATTCCTCCTGAAATCTATGATGCATATACAAGACATTAAAATTTTTAAATGCAACTCAATTCTTTAAAAACTTAAAATTTCAAAATATTAGTACTAAATATCCATCCAGAAGTCATTCAAACTAATATGCAAATGTCTTTGTCTTTCCCTTTCTCTTTAAAAATGTATCCAAACCAATCACAGGAGTCCTGGAGAAGGACCGAGCCAAATGCCTCATTCACAACTACAATCTCATTTACAACCTGTCCCTGAGCCCTCGGAAAATCGACCAGGCCTTGCAGAGGTTCCGTTCTGGAGAAAATATGCTATTGGAGCCAGCTTTGCAGTACTTGAAGGAGTTATGATAACAAACCCATATTGTGAGAACAGATGTTTCCCTTATCTAACTTGGAAATGTGTTTCTCTTCAGCTGAGAGTAGTGGTGGAGGCGCTGTCAAAGCTGAGGTGATGCAACCGTTGTAGATGCTTTCATTTGGACTTGGATCTTCGCACAAAGTGATCAGAGAAAACTGGGTTTTCTCTGCTGATGTCGCAAGAATCTGATTACTTAAAATCCTTTTTATTCTAATAAAGCTTATGACTAATTTTTCATGTTTTTTTCCTACCCTGCTAATCAGATTATTTTTGGAAAAAAAAATCCACAGAACAAAAACAAAACAAAACAAAAAACTAGAAATTTTCAATTGCCATAAGTACCTGCAAAGAGTAGACCTTAATACATGATTCTTCAGTTAATAGGTCAGACCTTCCCTTAGTACCATACTAGGAAGGATTTCCATATTATAATAAAATAAACATACTAACAATATGTATCTTAGCAAAGCTGACCTAAAAGGTAGCTAAAATGACCCAAGAGTTCTAAAAAGATAGAGCAGTTGGCCAGCGCTGCGGCTCACTAGGCTAATCCTCCACCTTGCGGCGCCGGATTCTGTCCCGGTTGCCCCTCTTCCAGGCCAGCTCTCTGCTGTGGCCAGGGAGTGCAGTGGAGGATGGCCCAAGTGCTTGGGCCCTGCACCCGCATGGGAGACCAGGAGAAGCACCTGGCTCCTGCCATCGGATCAGCACGGTGCGCCGGCCACAACGCGCCAGCCGCGGTGGCCATTGGAGGGTGAACCAACTGCAAAAAGGAAGACCTTTCTCTCTGTCTCTCTCTCTCACTGTCCACTCTGCCTGTCAAAAAAAAAAAAAAAAAAAGATATAGCAGTCATCAAAGACTGACTAGTCTGCCTCAAAAGACATTTTTCTGGGCAACTCGAGAACTACAAAAATAAAAGCAATTCAGAGTAGAGACGCCCTTGGATGACATTTATTTCAATGGATCATTAAATGCAATGGCATTTGGACAGCTCCTCACAAGTAGGTAGGGATATACCTTTTCTCATGCCTCTCCCTTTAGCTGCCGAGCATCAGGCAGTCCTCAAAAACACTTTGAGGGGCTGGTGTTGTGGCACAGTAAGGTAAGATGCTTCCTTCATTTTCTGCATACCATATCTGAGTTCTGGATGTTCTGCTTTCAATTCACCTCCTTGCTAATGTGCCTGCAAAAGCGACAAAGTCCCAGGAACTTGGCCTCTGCCACCCACACGGAGACCAGGATAGAGTTCCTGGCTCCTGGCTTTAAGCCTGGTCTAGCCCCAGTTGTTGTGGCCATTTGGGAAGTTAACCAGCTTGCTTGCTCACTCGCTCATATACTCTGCCAAATAAATAAATAAATAAAGCTTTTTTTAAACCACTTTGAACAATGGTCTCTATGAAATGACACCAAGAAGTGAGATCATTACTATAGCAAAAACAAATTTCGAGATATATCACTCTCATAGAACGATGTGAAAACATCTTTCACAGAGGTTGCAATGATTTTCTTTCAATTGATCTCTTGTCTGAAAAATCCCCACTTCTTTTACTCCAAGGTGTGTGTGTGTGCACAGACGTGTGTTGTGTGTATATGTGTGTGTATTCAGCAAAACATTATTCTTCCTCTTGTGAAAATGTTAAGGCATAATTTTCACAATAGGTATAGTGACAGCTACAATGGAGTGTTACAGTGGGGAAAGAGATTGGACTCAATGCTGATTACAAAAAGGAAAAGATAATTTGTAGCTAAGGGACAGCAGCATGGTAGAGAAGCCCTGGATGGAAAGTTAAAGGAAGAAGCATCAGGCAAGGGGGCATTCTGTCTAACTTAACAGGATTCTTTCTGAAGGCAAAGCAGACATCACCAGGGTGGGGGAGTGTCAGGAAAAAAGAGTGCTTGATTAAATATCAAAGGCTATCAGATCTTGAGGGTAGGAGATTCTGACTAGACTGACTTGGCAGAATCCTAGCTCAAAGAGGCTAATAAGAATGTTCCCAAGAATGTCGTGTGGTTGAAAGAAGCCTCTGAGGAGTCTCATGCAATAAGGAGATAATCTGTCAGTGTGTGCATACGTGTGCATGTGTGTTTATTGGAAGACTTGCATATTACTGAAGCAAATCATCATTAGTTTTTTCTCCGGGTAGACATTAGAAGAGCGAATATTCAATTTAAGTCACAGGGGAAAGCTTAAATACAGGACACAAGGTGAACATGATAGAGGTTAAATGAAGCCTGGCTTTGAGGCAAACCATTGGATACAAAGAGGAAAATGCTATGAAGTCATCACACTTCAGAAAATCATTGCAACCTCTGTGATAGAACTTCATGCTTGCCTCTGGAAAGTTTCTCACTTATCTCTGTCTTTTTGTTCTCATGCCAGTGGCATTGTGTATGTTCCCTGTGGTTGTGTCATTGACACGGAGGAAACCTGGTGTCTGATTTGACCAGCTTCCTCAGGCAGAACTCCCCCGCTGTTTGATATGTACAATGGGCCTGGAGAGGCTTAGTACCATCTGGGTCTCCCCACTATCCAAAGCTTCAGCCTTTAAGATAGAGAGAGGAACAGCCACTTAGTGCAGCTGTTAAGACTCTGTTTGGGACACTGGAATCCTGAATCAGAGTGCTTGAATTCAAGTTTTGGCTCCACTCTCCATTCCGGCTTCTTCCTACTAATGTGCATCATGGGAGGTAGCAGGTGGTGGCTCACGTATTTGAGTCCCTGCTACCAACATCGGAGACATGGGTTGAGGTCTAGGCTTCAGGCGTCAGCCTGGTCTAGCACTGGCTGTTGCAGACCGGGGAGTGAATCAGCAGATGAAAGATTCTTCTCTATCTGTTTCTATCTTTCTACCTTTTAAACAAAATTAAAATATTTTAAATTATAAAAGAAAGAAGAGGAAAACCCAGAAGAATGACAGAGGTTTTCACCAACAGCATTGACCTTCTCCCAGCTAAGTGGGAGCACTCCTGAATAATTCACTACCTACCCAAGAGCATCATTCTTATTTTTAATATTTTTTATTTTTAACTGACCCATAAAAATTGTACTTATTTACGGTGTACTCTGTGATGTTTGGATACATGTATGTGTTGTCTAATGTCCATTCAGGCTAAACCTATCTATGTCTTCATACAGTTAACATTTCTTTATGGTAAAAACTTTCAAAATTCTTCTAATTTTTGAGAGAAATATACAGTACATTAGCATTATGTATAGTTATCATATTGTATAATAAAACACCAGGACTTGTTTTTCACTGGGTACTAAATTATAGATTGAAAGGAGTAAGACATTTTCACATTAAATAAAGTAGTGTATGCAAATTACCCAGCACTGTAAGTGGCACAAAGACACATTCCATAAAAGGAAATAACATTATTTTATTGTGAATATAGTTATTTCACTTTGCTCCAGTCAATGGGTCAAATCATTAAGTGCCTTTGCCAGGTACAAACAGCTTTCAAGCCTTCCAGAATGGCTTTTGTGGTCCTGGCTGGCAAAGACAAATGTCTTCCATATTTTTTCTTCCTCATATTCCTGCCTGCACTTGTTCCTTATAGTAAACCAACTAGGTTGGCATTTCTATGTCCATTATACTAATGGGAAACTGAGGTTTGGGGTATGTACTTGCCTAAAGCCTGGCAGCCAGTAATAGACAAAGCCAGAGCTAGAACCTAGTCATACCCCAGCCTCTCAGTGCCACACTTGTACCAGTTTGAGCAAATCACCTGGGTGGGGGCCATCTCTCCAGCAAGTGTGGAGGTAACACCAAGCGAGGCCAAACTCGCTCACCTTGGTGTGCAACACAGAGCCCAGATTCACCACCGAGCGGGCAGCTGGAAAGCGACTGCTGAAGGAGCCCCTGCGTGAGCATTATGAAAGCCCAGCCGCTGCGTGCGCTCCGCGAGCTCTCCCGGATTCCTTGCCGCCTTCAGGGGACTGGAATAAAGGGTGTTTTCAGCACTACTTGGCATGGTTTGTTCACACAACCAGAAGCACAACTGTGGAGATGGCACAGTCCAAAGAGTTTGCTAAGTGCTCACTGACTCTTCGGAGGAATTTCCCAAGATCATTAAGAGAAACAATAACGGGGGATTTGATATTCTAATTGGAATCAGAAATTGGACAGCTTTGGAGCTGGCCGGAGAACTGTGAAGCTCTGAAAACAAATGCTTGCCTTTCTTCTCTGCCTCTCCTCACCCTCCCTCCTGCAAGAGCTTTTCAGCTATGGCTCCAATGCTCCTTAGCAACAAAGGCGGGGTTCCCAGAGCCGGGGCTCTTCAGCAATGCCAGCCGTTACCCTCATTAGCATTCAGGGGCTCTCATCTGCCTGCACAGTTGGCCACAGGACTGTGCAAAAGGCAACGTGGCTTGGGGGAGGCCCAGCATTTAGCGTGGTTTGTTGGGAAATGGGAAGCCTCCACAAAGAGTTTCCAAACAAAAGGCATCAATATTATTTGTGGAGTCATGAGACTGCCTGGGGCACAATATGGCTCTGGCTTGGCCACATGCTGTCTCTCCAGGTTCTGTGGGAAGGCATGATGGGGCCTCCCCAGAAACATCTTGGCTGAAAACGTCGGTGCATTGGATCATCTCCCTCCTCTTCCCCTCTCTCCTGACCTGCCTCCTCCTCAGACTCAGTTTATCCAGGTTGGACAATGGGTGGACTCCAACTTGCAGTAGGGGTACACAGAGTAGGGAGTTGATAGAGGGCAAATGGTCAGATGGTAGGACAATCATGAACAGATGGTGTTGCTGGAAATGGATTCCAGACAAATTCACAAGCAGATTGAGCTCTGACAAAGGCTGAGCAAGACTTATCTGGTGAAAAGTTATTGGCCCCTGCTCAAAACACACACGCCCTTCTCCCAAAGTCTTCTACACTTACATGAGGGAGAAACCTGGCCAGGTTCTGTCTCACTGGCATTCTAAAATACAGGTCAACAGGAAAATTCCTGGAAAATGCCAACTGGCAGAACAGTTTTCCACATTCCTGTGGAGCCAACCCTGAGCAGGGTTTCCTGCAGCCTCCCTGGGCTTGGACACCTTTGGAGATATGAAGCTCACTACTTGTGTTTTCCTCTCCTTCTGACTCCAACTCTTCATCCAAAATTGGTCTCTCGATCTCTTTTTGACTCTCTCTAGGCATCAGGGAGAGAGAGAGAGAGAGAGAGAAAGAGAGGAGCTTGTCTTTTTTCTCCTCCAGAATGGAATCAAGT